GTATAACCATTTAAGGTTCCGCATTTCAAAATCTCAAACTTATATAAAATGTTCCCTTTTAGGTTCAAATTTAAATTTGAACCCAAACTTAAGTTCAACTTCAATTTCAACTTTGCATTCATAAATTGAGTTGCATATATGCATAATCCTTGAGTTGATCCAACCATGCATACCATGATCATGAACTTGAACAAGTTTATTTAAATTGTTTTGCATTACATGATAGGATCCGAGGAGTCTGCTGAACCTGAAATCGTTCACAAGGAAAAACATGAAGGTGTAGCTGAAGATCTTGAAGGAGGAGTACCTATAGAATTCTTCGCAAAAGAAGACCCTAACCTTCTTCCTTCTCACTCCTCTGAACAAGGCAAGCCCCGGAGCATTCCCATCGCTTAATTAGGATACTTATATATTTATATCATAGTTAAACTTAAGTTTGTGCATAATAGGAGTTGTTTGCAACCCTTGCATGAGCCAACCTACTCGTATCCGTACCTAACTCAAACTAGTATGTGTAAGACGATTATTGCTTCGCAATGGACACGGTAGAAGTCGATAGTGGGAGTCGGCCACTATCGCGAGATCTTTTATGGAAGGCATTGGGTGGCTCCGTAACCTTCCGCTTCTAACTTTTCTTGGTCTTTAGGAATCCTTGAAACTGGGAAATGTGAATCCTGTGAAATGTACAATGAAAGTATTGGGCGAGTGCATGATAGCATGGAACACGGTTCGCATGCTAGCCTCGTTTGGTCGCTAAGGAACTACTCGTCGTTGTCCCAAACCAAGGGTTGAATGTACCACCCACATATTGTTTTATGGGAACAGGAAACCTATGTAACTCTGTGGAGGGTTATGAGATGAAGACCTGCACACGCTTACGAGATGAAGACCTGCACGCGCTTTGTTCTGTTGGTGGTCCGGGTTGGCAGGGTAGTATGACTGAGAAGCTTGCAAGTGATTGGGTAGCTCCTGACTTTGGAGCGGTGCCAGTGCCCTAGGTCGAGCGGTGCAGTGACATTTCCTAATCCACAGTTGTGAACGGTTGCTATGGGGCATGGCGATGCACCAAAGCGTGTGGTTGGGTTTGTCTGGCTAGATATTGAAATCAATTCGAATTGTCGTACTCCCGGAATGGATGACCTTGGTCACTGTACATTACTGCGCAGTAGCAACTTGAATAATAAGGGTTAATGATGATGAATGATAATTTATTTATGATGATGTTAATATTATTTTACACAGTTTCTTGGATGAACTTGTCAGTTGTTTAGATCAGGTGCAAATTTGTAGTTGCAGGTTAACCACATAATATTATTGCTAGAACTTGAACTAAGGATGCACTCCTAGTAAGCTGTAGGCTATCTAGGTCAACTTCCACCAAATGTTACCAGGCATATCCTTGAGAGCCGGACTTTATAATATGTCCTAGACGGGTTAGTCTTGCTGAGTACTTGTGTACTCAGGCTTGTTGTCTTTACTCTTCTAGGCTACGTGTTCGATGAAGGTTCAGGTTCTGCTCAGTTCTACGATGACTCTGGTGTTTGGACGTTGAACCCGTACGGTCCGTCGGCTTAGGAGTTAGTTGTTTGTTGTGTGGTGTTGTGTTGTTACATTCTCAGTGGGCTTGAGAATGTAAGTTAAGCTGTTTTGTTGTATGCCTGTAAACGACGATAAACTCTTTGTTGTAAATTAAGACTTCCGCTGCAATAATGAGACTCTGTTGTAAATTTGGAACGAGTTGTACTCGTTAAGGTGTGGATGTAATATATTGCTGTACGAGTTGTGATGTGGAACAGGTTGCTTCGGCAATAACACTGTGTTAAGGTCCTGGTTTAGGCTGGGATGCCACAGGCACTCGGCAAAAAGACAACACGACACTCGACAAAGATCCTACACTCGGCAAATAGGTCCCACGTGATGGGCACGTGGGACGTCCGCTAGACGGCGTGACCGCCGTTAGAACTTTGCCGAGTGTCTGCACTACGCACTCGGCATACCTGTCAATTTGCCGAGTGTCTTGTGCAGGCACTCGACGAACTTTCCCTTTTTCCGAGTGTCTACACTGAGCACTCGACATACGTGTTAGTTTGCCGAGTGTCTTATGCAGACACTCAGCAAATTGAATTTAGTTTCCCCCTTCCCTCTAAAACAGTCCCAAAGAAACAATCATAACTTTTGATTCCCAAAACCTATGAAGGTGCATGAGCCCATTTTGGAAAGCTCATGAAGTCTACTTTTTATTGAAACAAGTGCCGACCAGTTTGGAAACTCCATCGTGACGTCCGATCTGTTTTAGCGAAGACTGGTCAGAAGGTCAACAGTCTGCCTGATGTTCAAGTTCTCGTGCAAAACTGTACCAATCTATAATATTTCGTGGAGCATGCTGCACATGGTGTGAAAGCTTGTCAAATTAACTTTCCAACGCAACAAACGGAGCATCATTTGGACTTCCGAGTTAGGAGTTATGGCTAAAACAATAAAGACTGCGCAGAAAACCAACAGCCACACGGGAAGCAAAGCTCAGTTCGAGGAGGCTTTCACATAGACGAACTTGTCTTTTGCATCTCGTTTTCATACCTAATTAGGAGGGTTTTTCCTAGTATAAATACCTCCTATGTACTACTGAAGAAAAGAACTTTTGATCAATTGAAACCAATACAGTATTGCAGCTGAGCTGCTGAGTGTCTTGCTCACCCTTGTTCTTGCTAGTTCTTCCTGGGCTTGTGAGAGATCTCTCTGAGGTCCCCTAACTCGTGCTCTACGGCTTCCAGTTAGGCTGCGCCATATTGTAGTGTGGATTAATCCTGTCTTGTGGTTCTGCGATCGTGCGGAGATCGAGTCGAAGTCTTCAAGGTTTCGGTGTCTCTCTTCCCGTCGCTTGGTTGCAGCCAACCTTGGCAAGTTTCTTGTATTTGATTATTGATGAGGACATCCCAGACATATGCATGCATCAAGAATCAAATACAAGAAAGGTTACGGAAGACCACACATCGGATACACAAGCACATGTGTATCAAGGACCGGTTACGCGTAGTCGTGCAAACTACTCCAAAAAGAGGTGAACTCGCTCCTAGCTGAAATTAAGCTCAATATACATGAGAATTATATACTACCTAAGTCATATATGTTGACATTGCTCCGATTCACGAAGGAGGAGGACTGCTGACCAGGAACACACAAGGAGATGTCTGCCGACCAGGACTTCGCTCGAGCCAAACCATTCCAGCAGAACAGTCCCAAAGTCATAACTTTTGATTCCCAAAAGCTATGAAGGTGCATGAGCCAATTTTGGAAAGCTCATGAAGTCTAGTTTTTAATGAAATAAGTGCCAACAAGTTTGAAGACTCCATCGTGACGGCCGACCTGTTTTAGTGAAGACTGGTCAGAAGGTCAACAGTCTGCCTGATGTTCAAGTTCTCGTGCAAAACTGTACCAATCTACAATATTTCATGGAGCATGCTGCACATGGTGTGAAAGCTTGTCAAGTTAAATTTCCAACGCAACAAACGGAGCATCATTTGGACTTCCGAGTTAGGAGTTATGGCTAAAACAATAAAGACTGCGCAGAAAACCAGCAGCCACGCGGGAAGCAAAGCTCAGTTCGAGGAGGCTTTCACATAGACGAACTTGTCTTTTGCATCTCGTTTTCATACCTAACTAGGAGGGTTGTTCCTAGTATAAATACCCCTATATACTACTGAAGAAAAGAACTTTTGATCAATTGAAACCAATACAGTATTGCAGCCGAGCTGCTGAGTGTCTTGCTCACCCTTGTTCCTACGAGTTCTTCCTAGGCTTGTGAGAGATCTCTCTGAGGTCCCCTAACTCATTCTCTACGGCTTCTAGTTAGGCTGTGCCGTATTGTGTGGATTAGTCCCGGCTTGTGGTTCTGTGATCGTTCGGAGATCGAGTCGAAGTCTTCAAGGTTTCGGTGTCTCTCTCCCCGTCGCTTGGTTGCAGCCAATTTTGGCAGGTATAAAGCTAGTTACCCCGCTGTTCGCAGCAAGTTTTCCTTTTGACTATCAACCTACTGTCGTGAAGATCGGGCCATCCCTAGGAGATTTCAATCTGTATCGTACTTTTGGTGATCTCCGTCATATCATGTGCTAATCAGAGCTATCGTTGTCACGGTATGTTTTATTGTCACCCACTTATCTATCCTAGTCGTTTACCATCTGTTCTTGTGTCATCTATATATTTGTTTTGTTTATGTCCTACAGTCCACTAAAAGCCATAAAAAATATCCCATAGCCTTTTTCGTGGTACTGTTACTTGGTGTGTGTTGCGTTCATCTTGTTTCTAGTCACCATCGTTGTTCTTCCACAGTGCTTTAATTTTTTTCCCACCCTCCCACACCTCTCGCATGCTATATTGTGTTTGTTGTCACTGAAAAAAAAGTGTGACATAAAGAGTAAAAAAAAGAGAAGAAGAAACTTAGGCAAAATAAAAAAGAGAAGTGAAGTTGAAAGGGGTGTGTGCAGATCGTGTTATTAAAATTTTCATATCTGTAACTCAAGTTGGTGGTGATTTGGACAACAACATTTATGTTTGTTGAACGGTTGACAACACTTGGTACAGTACCATAGCCTCCCTTGAATAGCCACCTATAGCTCCACAAAATACCAGACCAGGACTCTCGTCTTGTAATCCTTTCAATCGCTTAATCACAATTGTGGTAGTGCCACTTTAGCACACTCACGGTCCTTGAGAACAAGTAAGAACTTGGGTAAGTAAGAGGTGATGTTGTGTGATTCTACAAATTTTTCCTATTCCACTTTCTCTTGCATTGTTCTAACATGGCCACAGGATCTAATTCGAGTGTTCGTGGTGGTCGATATGGAGAAAAAGAACCCTCAGTCTCGCGGACTGAGTTACGCCAACTACAAAACTCACTCGTGGAGGCCATGGAGAGGATGTTCGATGAACATCTTCCTACACCGCGCCGTTGGGCTCCACAACAACTAACTCCCGTGGTGGTCTCTTTGGCCCTTGTGGACAGCATGGCGGAGGTGCTCTTGGGCGTAGTTTTTGCCCTCGTGTGCTCATTGGTGATGAAGATAATTGTGTGTTCCCCAAAAGAAAAATTCAGCAAGAGACACGAGGAAGGTCCTATGGAAAGCAAAACCCATCTGAGAAAGAGTGCCACCAACCAAAATTGAGTGCAAGAGTTCAAAATGAAAAGATGAGAGATTACACCATAAGTAAGGAAGAGAGCCACAAAATGCTCTATGAGAGAGATACACAAAAATCGAGTGAAAAAGAACATGAATCATGTGAGGAATTATTTACTACTAACATAATAATGCCTTCTTTTAGTCTTGTTCCTTTTGTGATGCAGGATCATGAAGAAAAACATGTGGTGAATTATGACCAGGCCCCGATATTCGATGAGGAAGATCAAGTGATAGCCATGGATAGCAATACGTCTGCATATGTTGCTTCACAAGGTGTTGAAGTGATTGTGCATCAAAACCTATGTGAGAATGAGGGCCACATAGCCGAACTGAGAGAGAGTGAAAACAAAAGTGAGTTGTGTGATTCCACCCACTATGAGGTTGAGAGCATCAACAATATGAGTGTGAGAGATACAACACAGAAAAATAGAGAGTTAGAATGCAAGTCATGTGAGGATATTTTTGAAACTAATACTCTCATCTCTACTTCTAGTGTTGTCATTCCAAATGTGCCGGTTTGTAATGAGAATAAGCAAGAGATGGATGCTCATGGCAACTCCATACTTGTTGAGAGAAGTGAGAAGGTAGCCATTCATCCAAACCAGTTGTGTGCTGCCCAAAACATGAACCATGATGAGGAAAGTGGTAAGATTTCAGAAGCGTCATCCATGATACTTGCACTACCACAAAGTCTAAAAGGTAAAGAAAATAATTCAGATCTGAGTTTGCAAAATAAAATGGTGAGCAATTATGATGAAACATATATTTCACATGGAGTTGACCATACACAAAATGATTCTGCTGCTTTGATTATTTCACATGTTCACCCGTGTGCTGAAATTTTGCAAGTTGATAACCAATGTTCAATCATACATGATCTTTTCTATGCTTTGATATGGTTCATATACATGATACTATGCACTCATATATCAGATACTTTGCTTGCAAATAAATTTGATAAAGTGAAAATGTAGTCATGATGAATTCTTTGCAAAAATATCTCTTCATGAATGTGGTTGCTTTGTCACGTTTGATAAATGTGTTGAGATCAGTAATATACTTGATAATGTTTTTCAAATATCATCCCTGAAATCTTTGAATACTACCTATAGTTGCAAGTTTACATTCAACTTGGTTGCACATCATGCTGCAAGAAAATTCTATGTTTGTGGTATTTGCATAACTTGTGACAAGATTGCTGGCTTGAAGATAAATAGATTTTGTAACAATTCTTGTGAGCCATATTTGTTTGAACTTGAGATGAAAAGCCTGTTTAGTGACTTCTGTACAGAACCAAAAATGTTCTTCCCTTGTTCATATGTTCTATCGAAAGAAAGAAATCTTCTACAAAGATGCTCCACTAATTTACCTAAAATTTTTCCATCCTCATTTGGTACCATTGAGTTTGGCAAATACATCTCTGAACCGTGCACTATGAATGTCAAGAATGTTTCTTTCTTATCTCTTGATATATGTGATCTTGCAAAGATAAAACTTGATAACATAAATCAAATGATTGGTTTGAAAGAAATTTTAGTGCTCCCATCTTCGGAGATATTTGCAGGTTCATCAAAGTTGAGAGAATGTTTCTTACATGGAAAAGAAAATAATATGAATATGAATCTTAAAGAAACAAAAGAGCAAAACAAAATAAAAGATTATTGGAATTATCATGTACATCCACCCTCTGTTTTGTCTAGGCTGTTTTCAGGTAATCAGAAGTCGTGGATGACTTTTCTTAAATGGAGGGAGGATGATGAGATCAGCCCAAGGCAATCAACATTCACCATTGGTTCTAAGCATTGATTTAAGGTGAAAGCTAAACATGATTCCAAATCCATTTGGGTTCCACCTACAAGGTTGTTACTTGGTTTATATGATTATAGATTCAAACACCTTGCTGTGATGGAAGAAGAAGATCATGGTATTATCACAAACCTGCAAGTTGATGGCCTAGTACACTCCACCACAAAATTTTGTCCATTTGAAATTCTATATGGCTTCAAACCTATTGCTCCCATCAATCTATTCCCTTTGCCTATGCAGGAACGTGCCAACTTTGATGCAAGCAAGCGTGCTGAATTCGTCAAAAAGAAATTCATGATCAAGCAAGAACCAACATAGAGAAGATGACCAAGCTGTATGAAAAACGTGCCAACAAGGGGCGCAAGTCGATGTTGTTTGAACCAGGGGATTTAGTCTGGGTACATTTGCGCAAGGATCGCTTTCCTGAACGACACAAGTGCAAGCTACAACCACGAGCAGCTGGTCCTTTCAAAGTGCTTCGCAAGATCAATGACAATGCTTATGAAATTGATCTTCCTAGTACATATGGTGTTAGTACAAGCTTCAACGTCATCGATCTATCTCCATTCTTTGGATTGGAAGAGTCAAGGATGACTCCTTTTTAAGAGGGGGAGGATGATGAGGACATCCCAGACATACGCATGCATCAAGAATCAAATACAAGAAAGGTCACAGAAGACCACGCATCAGATACACAAGCACATGTGTATCAAGGACCGGTTACGCGTAGTCGTGCAAAACTACTCCAAAAAGAGGTGAACTCGCTCCTAGCTGAAATTAAGCTCAATATACATGAGAATTATATACTACCTAAGTCATATATGTTGACATTGCTCATATTCACGAAGGAGGAGGACTGCCGACCAGGAACACACAAGGAGATGTCTGCCGACCAGGACTTCACTCGAGCCAAACCATTCCAGTAGAACAGTCCCAAAGAAACAGTCATAACTTTTGATTCCCAAATGCTATGAAGGTGCATGAGCCCATTTGGAAAGCTCATGAAGTCTAGTTTTTAATGAAACAAGTGCCAACCAATTTGGAAACTCCATCATGACGGCCGACCTATTTTAGTGAAGACAGGTCAGAAGGTCAATAGTCTGCCTGATGTTCAAGTTCTCATGCAAAATTGTACCAATCTACAATATTTCTAGAGCATTCTGCGCATGGTATGAAAGCTTGTCAAGTTAGCTTTCCAACGCAACAAATGGAGCATCATTTGGATTTCCGAGTTAGGAGTTATGACTAAGACAATAAAGACTGCGCAGAAAACCAACAGCCATGCGGGAAGCAGAGCTCAGTTCAAGGAGGCTTTCACATAGACAAACTTGTCTTTTTCATCTCGTTTTCATACCTAACTAGGAGGGTTGTTCCTAGTATAAATACCCCCTATGTACTACTGAAGAAAAGAACTTTTGATCAATTGAAACCAATACAGTATTGCAGTCGAGCTGCTGAGTGTCTTGCTCACCCTTGTTCTTGCGAGTTCTTCCTGGGCTTGTGAGAGATCTCTCTGAGGTCCCCTAACTCGTGCTCTACGGCTTCCAGTTAGGCTACACCGTATTGTGTGGATTAATCCTAGCTTGTGGTTCTGCGATCGTTCGGAGATCGAGTCAAATTCTTCAAGATTTTGGTGTCTCTCTCCCCGTCACTTGGTTGCAGCCAACCTTGGCAGGTATAAAGCTAGTTACCCCGTTGTTCGCAGCAAGTTATCCTTTCAATTATCAACCTACTGTCGTGAAGATTGGGCCATCCCTAGGTGTTGACGAATATGCTCGGTTGTCCACCAAGGGGTTACCCAAGGTGTTAGATTTGTGTGGTGGGTTGTGCGTGAATCCAAGAACAAGATGGTAACAGGGGACACAAGAGTTTAGATAGTGAAAGTGCATCTAGGGCCCTCTAATTAGTTTTGGTGATAATGACAAACACAATTAGAGATTTCTCATGTTTGTTAAGTGTGTAGGAATAAAAGGGAAGAAAATGTGTAAAGAGCACATGAGAAGTTATTTCACCATAAGTATTGATGATAAAGCTCAAAGGAGGATTTAAATTTATTTATCATTTGAATTTGAGTTTAGAAACACCGTACTATAAAGTGGGACGCGAAATATCGATCAAATTGATCAAGTGCTTTGAAGAGATGCTAACAAAACCAAAAAGGAGAGATTGTATCCTAAAAACCCTTTACCTAAACTGGTTAACCTTTCCTGCGTCCCACCAGAAGATCCGGCTGGATCTTCCGGCAGCCTCGGGTGCCCACCGGAAGATCCGGTGGTTATCACCGGAAGATTTGGTCAGGCTGCTAACAGCTGGTTTGACAGTGTATTCTGTCATCCCACCGAAAGATCCGGTTGGATCTTCCGGCAGCCTTGGGTGCCCACCGGAAGATCCGGTGATTCTCACCGGAAGATCCGGTCAGGTCATGGACAACATGTTTGACAGTGCATTTTGTCATTCCATCGGAAGTTCCGACCAAGTGCCGGAAGTTCCGGTGAGCCCGAAAAGTGCATAACGGCTAGTTATGGGGAGGTAAGGTATAAATACCCCTTCGCCTCGTCTTCATTTCTCTACTGACTCAACACACGCCAAAACACTTCTAGAGCTTAAATTCACCTCTCTACACCACTCTTGAGCCAATCTTTGAAAGGAATCATCCAACCCTTGAGTGAGTAAAAGGATTTGAGTTGAGAGCCTTGACATTGTGAGCTGAAATTTCCATCTCTCAAGCATTTGTTCATCATTTGGTTGATAAATCATGTTTGTTACTCTTGGAGCTTGACTCCTAGATGGATAGTCGTCGCCCAAGTGCAGCACCTTGATTGTGAGCACCTTGGGAAGTTTGTATCGCCCTTCTCTTGTGGGAGAACTTGAGTAAGTGACTCAATCTTGATCTTTGTGGTCGATTGAGGGAGGAAAAAGGGTTGAAAGAGACCATGCCCTTTGTGGGCGCCTCAACGAAGACATAGCTCCTTTGTGGAGTGAACTTCGGTAATAAATCTTGTGTCTCCTTGTTTTGCTTGTGTTCATATTGTTCATATCTATTCTTAAGCTTGAAATCAACCGATCTACGTGCTCATTAGTTTCCGCTGTAAAAGATCATTTTTTCTAGCATCTAGACTTCCGTTGCAAGCTTTCTATTCAAATGGAAACGTAAAAGCGCAATTAGTTTTTACATCTCGAAGTTAGAACTTTCTCACTGCCGGAAGTTCCGGCAAAGAGTCGGATCTTCCGGTCACCGGACCGGAAGATCCGAGACTGTGTCGGAAGATCCGACCAATTTGATAGCTTCTTGGAAAGAATTTCATATTTTATTTGAATTACCTATTCATCCCCCTCTAGGCATCGAGAAGATCCTTTCAAGTGGTATCAGAGCCAAGTTCCTCTCGGCTAAGGCTTAACCGCCTCGAGGAAGGATGTCGCAAAGTGGAGGAGATGATGACACTTTGGGAACGGTCGGTGTAACACCTACACCACCCACTCAACAACCCCCAATACCTCTGTCTCCTCCAACGGATGATGAAGATAGGGCATCAATCAAATCAAAAACATGCAACAAATCCAAGTCTAGCCACAAGTCGAAGAAAAGTGAAATTCCAAGCTCAAGCTCAAGTTCAAGTTCAAGCTCAAGCCCAAGCTCCAGCTCAAGCTCAAGTGATGAAGACTCCAAGTCCGAAAGGAAAAAGAAAGACAAGCGCAAGATAGAAAAATTGGCGATCAAGATGGCCAAGAAAATGATGAATGATAGCATCAAGGAAGCAAAGAAGAAAAGCAACCAAAAAGGGTTCAATCAAGTCTCCTTCAATTATGATGATGTTAATAAGTTTTCCGCCTCTAATTTTCAATCTATCCATTTGGGAAAAGCTCCATACTTTGATGGAACGAACTATCCCAAATGGGCATATGACATGAAAATGCATCTTTTCGGGCTTCACCCTTTGCTTTGGGAGATTGTGAATGTAGGAGTGAAAAGACCCAACAAAGGGAAGATGACGCCAGAGTTAGCTCAAGACTATCATCGTAATGCTCAAGCAACAAGGATCATCACAAGTTCTTTGAGTGCCCAAGAATTCAACAAAATTCAACACGTAGAAGTTGCCAAGGACATTTGGAATATACTCAAGGAATCACATGAAGGTACAAGTATGATCAAGGAAGGAAAGATCGACGTGATTCATGAGCAACTTGAAGACTTTGTCATGCTTGAAGAAGAAACAATTCAACAAATGTTTGATAGGCTCATGGTTCTTGTCAATGATATTAGAGCTCTTGGAAGTGATGATTGGAGTGACTTCAAAGTCACCAAGAAGATGTTGAGGGCTTACTCTCCAAGAAACTATGCCATCGCCGCCATGATTAGGAGAGATAAGTCATTTAAAAAGATGGCACCGATCCATCTTCTTAGTGAGCTCCTTCAACATGAGCTTGCCGATAAGAGTGCTATATCTTCTCTCAACAAGAATAACAAGAAGGGGATTGCCTTGAAAGCTAAAGAAGAAATTGAAGTGAAGGGCAAATCATCCAAAGCTAAGAAAGAAGATACAAGTGATGAAAAAGAAAGCACCAACGAAGAAACCGCCTTGCTCATGAGAAATTTCAAGAGTTACTTGAAATCAAGAAACTTCAAGAGAAGCAATGGTGGAAAAGACAAGAGAAGACCTAAGAAGAGACCATGCTACGAATGTGGAGAGAATGGACACTTCATTGCCGAGTGTCCAAACAAGAAGAACAAGGACAAGGAGGATGAAAAGAAGAACAAGTACAAGAAGGAAAACAAGAGCTATGATCATAAGAAAAAATATTTCAAGCAAGCTCATATCGGTGTGGAGTGGACTTCAAGTGATGAAGAGTCGAAAGATGAAGGTGTGGCAACTCTTGCCATGCATAAGCCATCCTCTTCATCAACACGTCTCTTCAACAACCTATCTAGTGATGACGAAGATCATTATCCTCGTTGCCTCATGGCCAAAGTCACTAAGGTGAAATAAAAAACCCACTCCTCT